GCAGACATGTACACTGAGCTAGGTGTATACCGGTAGTTGATTATTTAGAGAATAGTTCCTGGGCTCCCTGTGGTCCAAGTTTCATGATTATAATGACTGTTTCGCTGTGACCGTATTCAATCAGTTACCTCACTGTAATAACTAATTTGGTAACAGGTTTTCTAAGGTCTATGGTTTGATTTATAAATAAAGATATTTGCATACTTTCTTAGTATAGTAACTACGAGTTCAGACAGTTGTTATGGCTGTGGGTGGAGTCCTCCATTTTTAAATGACCTCACCTAAATTTGACTTTGTTTTACTGTAGGTTTTACATTTCTGACATGCTTTGCTGGTAGTTGCAGTCTTCTTTTGTTGATGAAAGTGTTCCGTGATCAACTCGTTCGACATTTTGATTGCTTCACATGTAACAGTACATCGAGTTCTGACAGTGCCGTGTTTGGAAAATGCCAACTCAGCTGTTTGCGTTGTTTACACAGGGGTTGGTTGTTTACGTTGGGAATACCTATACTTTCACGGGGCTGCATGCATGCAAAACAGAGGGGCACATTTATACAGCAACACTTCATACTCCTGTAATTTCTACTTTGGTATTCCAAGTGTAAATAATTCGATAAAGAAATAACGTGAAACTAATATAACCACAGTTATTCAAGTAATTTCTGCAAAGTTGTAGCTAACACCTACATAAAAAAACTCAGCAATGTCTCCTGCATTTAAAATGATAGCCGCCCAATGGAAAGACCTTTAAGTTGCTAAAAATACGAGATTGAAGTCACGCCTTAAAATTAATAACTTTTTTGTTGATTTTTATTTTTAATTAACTAATTAAGTTAAAGTAGCTTGCTAAAAATTGTTTGTTAAAGCATAATGATAATTTACAATAATACAATAATTTTCTTTCATTGTTTACTTTTTTGTCTCATATTTTATGTTCTTAGGGGGTCATGTTGTCGTTCATTCAATATGGCGGACAACGTGGCGGATGAGCAGACACCTCCAGCCTTTGGCATTGCTGTCACTCTGGCTGTTGGGGCTGTGGTCATCTTGATAGTTTTAGTCTTCAATGTTGGAAAAGGAACAGGGTCGGATAAATCAGAAGCTGGCAAGTATAACTCCATTCATAGTTATGCAATCATTTTCGAATCGCGTCCTGGAAATGAAGCTCGTTACTAGAACTACAGTACTGTGCATACATATTGCTACATGTAGAATTGTTCAGTCTAGTTTCTCATTTTTTCTTTGAATATTTTGAGTTCTACATATTTTTAAATTTAAATCATTGGTTATATTTAATGAGTCAAAAATATCTATCAAAACTCGACATTTTTGTAATATTGTTTCTTGTTCTTGTGCAATATCAGATATGTATTGTCAAGATAAGATTGCATTGTGGGAGCAAAATGTTAGTGTATTGTTATTTATTTTGCAAAGTAAAAGAAGTATATAATATTACAGTACTGTGTTCGAGTATACTTTTATTGTATAATGCCAGTGTTAATTACATATAATATAATCATTCTTTGTTTTTGTATATTTTCTCTTCTACAGTGAATTTCATTAAAGCCTGAATGCCCATTACCCACAAGTCTTTGCAGGTTTCCTTCAGTCATTGGCAGATTTACTGCCATGCATTCTTTAAAGTGCTGTGATTGGTCATGATGTTATAAATATTTAAGCCTTCGTGAAATCCACTGTATTCCACTATAACATTTTTTTTTTCTATTTTCTATCCTATCTAGTTTGAGGCTTTGTTTGCATATCTGTGTAGGTGCAGTGATTGTGTACCTACACATTGTGTATTTATTACAGAACCCCCCACTGAATGCAATGGTGATATGTGTAGTTTTACAGTAGTTTATCAGTAATTATTTATTTTGATCCAATCTTCACATATTTTTCTATATTATCCTCATCTCTGTTATTGTTTGTTAATTTCAATGGTGTTGAATGATTACTAATAAAATGATGATAATGTATTATATATTTACAGAGAATGAACCAGGCAAGGGAAATGCAAAGAAAAAACAGCAACAGTCACAGAAGAAACAAAAGGCTGGTTGGACTGAGAAAAAGTCTAAACGTGCCACACAGAAGGCATTCAGCCATCCTTATCTATGTTGCACTTTGAAAGGTCACGCAGCAAATATTGTTGATATTGATTTTAGCATCAATGGGAAATATTTGGCCTCTGCTGCTGAAGGTGAGTCAACCTGTTTGTATTCATGCAGTGTCTAGGTCTGCTCAAGACTGCATGTATAAGGCAACAGCTGTAGTCCTGTGTACAGGAGTTTGTGTTGGGTTTAAAAATCATACAGTCAACCAAAGCCCCAGCACAGTGCTAGCATAGAACTAGATGTCAACAGTTCTGTTGAATCAATGGCGAAGCAATTACATTGATTTTGAAGGTAAAATGAAATCTCAGTTGACCGATGTGACTAACACAGTTGTTGGCTGAGGCAAAAATTAAAAAATTCAAACCACCAATAGTAAGGAAACTAAAACTTCTCTGAGCAAACAACAAAATGCTCTCATCATGAATTTGGTTATTTTACAAGATGCAAAAAGCCACATTAATAAAAAAAAAACACATTATGCATGGATGTTTAATTCAAAAAAGTGATTTAGGTATTGTGTGTGAAAACTAGTAGATTTATAAATTGTGGGTGGGGTGATTATCACTGCATGATCTGAACCCTGCCTGTTAGTCATACATGCAGAGCTATCTCAGCTGCTGAAGGAGAGTCCACTCAATCAGATGCAGTTACTTTATTAGTCTACTCAATTTTCTTGTTTTTAAGATCGAACTGTCAGAGTATGGAGTGTAAAGGAGTTCAAAGAAAAGGAACACAAGTAAGTATTGGGGTGATACTATTGTGTAAAGCTACAGGACTAATGTGGTTTAACACAGCTAATCTGCACCACAGTTTGTATTATCATGTAGTATCGTAAAAGTTATGTTAAACGTTGCATTCCAACTCCTATGATCTAGAAAACATCTT